TACTTTGACCTCTTTCTTCCTCCCTCTCTCTTTCTATTAGTATTTTTATGTGGACTAATCCTAGAGAATCGGCTAAGTAAGTTCTACTGAACATGAAATTAATTTATTGTTTTTGTTTGCTTCTTTAGTGTTTGTTTTTTCTTGTTACTTGTCACAATTTCGTTGATCTGGATATCAGCCGCCATGTTGCTCTCACTGCTATGTTTACTGTTCTTTTTTAATCAAAGTTTCATTAATGGTAAGGATAGAAAGATGGAGGAAAAGTGTAATATTTTACTAAAATATTAGAGACAAGATCAGTTTTAAGAAGAATTAAAAATTCAATGATCAGATCTAAACCAGTAATGCTATTATTATTATTATTATTTTTTATTATTATATTTTTATATTTTTATTTATTGTTAGGTATCACAGTCACGTTTAATAACTCCTTCAAATTCATCAACTACTCCTCCATTAACTGCTGGTCCAGCTCCTGATCAATCAAACACTCAAAGCAACAATAATGATGATGAAAGTCCAGCTAATAATAATGCTAATAATGAAGAAATGACATCATCTAATGAAAGTAAGGCTTATTGCACATGTGTATATGTTATAACTACCTCTTTATTTCTATAGCTAGTGAAAGACATCACGGAAAAGAGCATGAAAAAAGTACATATACATGTAGATCATGTGTGTGGGGTTGGATTGTTATGAATTTTTAAAGTTGCTCAAAAATTGGGTCAAAGTCCCTGTACTATAAAAAATCTAAACAATATAATGAATGGGTTTTTGCTTGTCACATATTTTGTGACAATGGAACCAATGGGTTTTGCTTGTCACAAATTTCATAATAATGGAACCAATTGGTTTTTTGCTTGTCACTAATTTTGTGACAGTTACTATTATTAATAATTTAATATTATTATTATTATTGTCGGTAGATAACAATTGCAATAAATGTGGTGCTTCATTTGCCAGTTTATTAAAGAGAAAAGTATGACACTGATTATTATAAAATAATTAATAATCTTTCTGTTAATTTACAGCACACTTGTAATTACTGTGGACAGATCTATTGTGGATCCTGTACAGTAAAAGTAACAAAAGCATCATTAGGAGCAACATGTAAGGAACTGAGACTGAGAGAGGATAAGTTTTATAATCAAAAGACTGCTTTACAAAAATTATTACGCTAGTCTTGAAATTACGTTTATTTAAAAACCTGATCCTCTCTTTCTCTCTCACAGCTCCAGCTGCTTTCCAACAGACAGTAAGAGTATGTCAGGGCTGCAAAATAAAACTAGACTCACCATCACAACCTGGAGATTAATTATTTATTTATTATTATTATAATTATTTTATACAATTTGGCTGTATTCCAGTGTGAATTTTAATTTACATGTCTTTAATTTTATTAACAAAATTGCAAATAATAATAATTTAATAATAATAATAATAATAATAATAATAATAATAATAATAATATTAATAATAATGGCAAAGCTTTATAAAGCACAATTGAATAAGAATCAGCTAATTGTTAGTTATTAAGATTTAGTAAACTCTCCAACAGCAGCTGCAGCATTATTATTATTATTTTTATATAATTGTTTTAAAATGAAAAGAGCAGTGTCCTCTGACCTCCTATAAACAGAAAGATCACTAATAGTAAACTACAATCACTGGGACCACAAACTGTCACTACTATTCTCACTATGGAAGAATTTGACTCTGTACCAATTTGGCACAAATTGTAAACACACCAAACAACTAGTTTAAAAATAGAAGAATTTGAACTTTCTTTCTTAGGTAATTGGTCCAAATAAGGTTGTATTTGTGAACCAATGGGCAATTCATTGGATCAATTGCAGGCACAATATTGGCTCATAAAACACAACACATGCACATGTACATATAATGTACATGTACGTGCACTAACCAGTAGCAAAGATGGCTGCTTAGTGCAAACATATATTCATTGATAGTTTCAATGGGTTTCTCCTGCAGTACATGGTCAACCCTATCACCTCCACTGATGCAACCGATCGGAATATGAACTGACTCCTCATCTACTGATCCTTGAGAACTAACATCACCTAATTAATAATAGTTATTAATGGTTATTGACACTAGTTATTAATGCTATTATAAATAGTTATCAAAACTAGTTATTAATAGTTATTAACACTAGTTATTATTGCCAGTTAGTGAATGGTTATTAATACCTGGTATTGATTCAGTTTCATCACTATTAGTGGTCATTGCAGCATTGTTAGTGTGAGCTCTAGCCAGTTCATTCAACTGATGCCACATGTTGCGAATTCCCTCAACCAAATGATACTTCACTGACTGACCAACTTTCTCTATATTCTCATATAATTCTAGGGAGAGAGAGAGGGGGGGGGAAGAAGGAAGTAGAGGGAGAGGAGAGAGATACAAACAATTAAATACATGAATATAGCAATTAATGCTGTACCTAAATGAAACCTCTTCCTTCCTTTATGGTGAGGTAACAGAGCTGCTTTAAGGGGAGCTTGTGATACTAACAATGGCTCCAGTCTATAGGCCACTGGATCATACTGTACATCAATGATAAGAATCAATGGAGGAATGGTAGTGTGTGCTTACTGGATGGAATATATTATAAACTGAGGAACAGGTTGGGAGTTGATATTCGGGACCTAGGGACTCTACACCTCTAGTAGTGGAGGGAATGGGAATGGAATATAGGAGGAATGGGAATAGAATATGATAGGAGGAATGAAATGAGCTGCTACCTAAGAGTTAGAAAAAGTCCAATAGGTGATCCAACAGCAAAGAGTGACGAAGGATTGAAATTCAATAAGGGATAATTAACGAGAGGTTGACCCGTTCCAGCAGTTCCTTTTACATAAGTTACACTTTCAGTAACTCCACCTACACAAGCTCCATCAGCTGCCAATGACTTCTTAAGCTCTTCCTCTCGTAATCTCTCTTCAGCTTCTTTGACTTTCCTTTCCTGAAAAGAGAGAGAGAGAGAGAGAGAGAGAGAGAGAGAGAGAGAGAGAGAGAGAGAGAGAGAGAGAGAGAGAGAGAGAGAGAGAAAGAAGAAAGCTAAAAGCAAGGAGTCATCATTCCAGTACTTGTTCCTGTTCTTTCTTCTTGTTCCATTCATCAATGTAACTAGTTATTTTCTTTCTTCCCCCAAGAGGTACACCAATCTCCTTCAGGTCTTCATTATTACACATTATCTGCAATTAAAATATTAATCATTTTATTTATTTGTAATTTAGTACGTGGAGCTTACAAAAGTGTTGAAGTCGATCATTTCACTTTCAAATTTCTCAATAAGCTGAGGGAGTCCCAACTGATTCAAAATGTCTGACACAGCAGGAGCATCCTCTCCCTCCTCTTTCTCCTTCTCTTCTTGTTTCTCTAACGAGTCAGTACTTTCAGTTACTGGTAGTGACTGTGGAACTGGGTCTTTGACCACACCCATTGACACGCCTCCATCAACCTAACAAAGACGATACATTAATGTTAGAAAAAATGGTCAAAACATGACAAGAATATGTCAACAAAGTTGTATAAAAATTGAAACATTTTAGATAAAAAAATGTAACATGATTATTACCATTTACAAAAGTACATGTACAATGTATGTTAATGTTATATTTACTTTTTGATGATAGAGTAAGTCAAAGAGGATACAAGACCCCAGTGAGTGTCCCATCACTCCTACAGAACCAGTGAATGATGGATTCCTCTCCTTAAATAAAGCATACATTCTATTCATCTCTGAGGACACTTGATCAATAATAGTCTAAAATAGAAAAAATATAATTATTACACATGTATTTGCACGTGCATTTTAAAGGTTAATATTAATTGATAATATTTATCTATTACATTACCTGCAGGTAAAGTGGGCTGGTATAGAATAAAATATCAATCAAAGTTGAGTTGGTGAAATCCCTTAATTTACTGATACTTGGCAAAGAAATGGACTTTACTTGTCTATCAAAAACAGAAAAAAGACATAAAATTTATTTTATTTTATTTTATTAGTTAGTACTTGTCAACTCCAGTGTCATCCCCATGTAGAGCCGAGTGCCATTGTACAGGCAGGAACTCCACCCTCCCTTGTCCCCCCGCCCCCCTACCAGAGACATCGTGAGACCTCAGCAATAATAATGACACCTCTCTGAAGTCATCAACTAATAGTAAAATAAATAAATGAATAAATAAATGAATAAATAAATGAATAAATAAATAAATAAATAAATGAATGAATGAATGAATTACACTAATTACTGAATGACACACTTTAACTTGAAGAGGTTTTATTCTCAGTAATTTTGAGTATAACATTAAGGCAATTGGCAATTATTTTGTGTGATTCAAGGTACTTGCATTTACATGTATTAATCTTCTCATCCTTCCTTCCCTTCCTTACCACAATCAATGAGGCTCCTAAATGAGTCGAGTCTAATGTCAGCAAAAGGTCCAATGCCATGAACAACAAAAACCAAATGATCAATGTTCTTATCTTCACCTAAGAAATGAATATACAATGTAAATAAATAAAACAGAAAGGAACAGTACTATGTAGTAAGTGGTACTAATTTTCAAGGTATGAGCATTTTTAAAAACGACTCAATTTTTAAAAAATACCCAAGGCTATAGCCCATGGATTTTTCCAAAAAATGGCTCCGAAATCACCACAAATTTTTATTACATTTTCTGATACATATTGATGTCCTTATGCTGTGTAGCAAGTTTGAGCTGATTCCGACTTCAATTTTTTAAGTTACAGCCCTTTTGAAAAATTGGCCAAAATCTGAAAAAATCCCTATAATATAGCCCATGAATTTTTGCAAAAAATGGCTCCGAAATCACCCCAAATTTTTATTACATTTTCTGATACATATTAATGTATTGATACTGTGTAGCAAGTTTGAGCTGATTCCGACTTCAATTTTTCAAGTTACGGCCATTTTAAGAAAACGTCAAAATTCTGAAAAATACCCAAGGCTATAGCCCATGGTTTTGTCCAAAAAATGGCTCCAAAATCACCCCAAATTTTTATTACATTTTCTGATACACATTGATGTCCTTATGCTGTGTAGCAAGTTTGAGCCGATTCTGACTTCAATTTTTCGAGTTATGAGGATTTTTTAAAAACTTATATACATGTACATGTACATTAATATGTTTACCCATTTGAACTTTATCCCTCTCTAGGAATCCTCT